CAAACACTATATGTTCATTAATATGCAGACATGTTCACATTTATGGCATGTGGCAGACCATTTTACACAGGTAGGTGAAGGCAGTGTTAGGAGTCTTGCCCAAGGACTCTTATTGGTATAGTGTAGGGCGCTCATCCAGGCGGGGACTGAACCCCAGTCTACAGTGTAGAAGGCAGAGGTGTTACCCACTACACTATACCAACCCACTTAACAAGCTACTTAATTAGTAGCAAGCTACCTAGACACCCCTTCTAATTAGTGGATTCAGCTACTTTAAGGTGCACCCATTGCTCTGGAGCAGCCTGTGTCTAAGGTCACTATGCTAAACGCCATGTCTGGGCCTCCCAGCATTGAGCTGTGGAGCAGTGGAACTGCGTTCTCTGGAGTGATGGAGCTCCATCCAGTACCTCTGGGATGAGTTGGAGTGATCCAGAACTGATCATCCACCATCAGTACCTGACCTAATGCTGTCTAAATGCAATCAAATCCTCACAGCAATGTTCCAGCATCTAGTCTAAAGCCTTCCCAAAGGTGTAGAGGCTGTTACTGCAGCAGAGGGGACAAACTCCCTATTAACCCCCTTGATTTCAGAAGAAACATTAGAAGAATAAGAAACATTGGAGGTGAGAAACGTCACATTGTTGTCTTCTACCTAAAGTTGGCCAAAGATTGAAGCTGCAACAAGAAAACCTCAAACTGAACTTTTCATGATAGAAATGCTCCAAAATAAAATCTTGCTACTGTTAAAGCACATTAAAGTGTTCCTTCTCCTATAACGTTTTAGGTGACTCTGGGCTTTTTTATGACCGAAGGTAGATTTAGATTAATATAGTGTATTCCATATTATAGTGTCCCACCAATGGCCACGCTGCCGTAGGAGCGCGGGAGGAGTGGCCATGCAAAGGGACTCTTGGGAGGCACCGCACTCACAGTAGGAGAGACTATAATGTTCGTTAAGTCGTTGATGCTTGTTTACATGTATATCGCTGTTGTGGGAAGAAAACCTTGTATCTCCAAAATGGTAACTTTACAGGAGAAGAAAAAACCTACTTTACTTTTAATGTAAGTCAATGGAACCAGACGTTTTTCCAAGTCATTTTGGGTCGTTTCTTTTAGTCCATTCATCATGAAATTTACATACAATGTAAAGGTTAACAGGTATTTTCAAATTATGTCAAAAACTCAAAAATGGAGATACGAGGTTTTCTTCTGACAGCAGCGATATGTGTTTACATGTTGGTTGTGCTATTCTGTGCTGTGTTGTGAGTTAAGGTGTTTACCATAGAGTGCAAGTACACAGCTGTGAGTGACCTGCCTGCTATCCCAGATGCTTGGTTAGCACTGGTCAGCAGCCCTTGCTGCCTGTTCAATAAAAGAGCATTCACCTTTAAAGTGCAATGTTTCTCCACATCATCTTTTTAGATGCTACAATATATTACAGTGCAGCTCAAAGTGCTTTACAAATACCCTTATAAAAAATATAAAAAACCCTTATAATAAAAGAAGCTGAACTCAATTTTTTTGTTTACTGAATTTCAACCCATTTTTCCACAAATCTGGACTATAAACTATAAACAGATGGCGTCTCTTCAGTGAACTGCTCTGTAAAAATTATTTTTATAAAATAATACAAAGTGTCTAAGATTTTTGGCTTTCAGCAGTAAATTGTAAGCATATAGCAATATGTGTATGATCATAAAACACATGTTCTGTTAATTTGAGGGGAGCTTTTAAAATAAATAAATAAATAAATTTACATTTATTTCTTTTGCCTTATGATTTGGTCATGCAAATTCAGATGGACAAACCAAAATATACCCTGGAGAAGCGAAAAACAGAAAATAGAGAAAAGTAAAGCACAGAACAAAAAGGCAAAATAGAAAAAAAATTAACAATAAAATAAAGAAAAATAAAATATTAATAACAAAATGACTAAAACAAGGAGTTGTAGCTCAAAATGAGAAATAAAAATTAAACTATTAATTAAAATATTAAATAATGCAATACAATAAATATATAAGTAAAAGTAAAAGATGTGTTTAAACTGCTTTAAAAAATTTATTGAGGATGCTGGCTGAATGGGAGCTCCACAGTTTAGAAGCATACACGTTAAAATCAGCCTAAACGCTCCATTTACGTTTCACTCTTGGAACAGAAAGTAGTCCTGTGTGTGAAGATCTTGGACATCATTGTGGAGCATATTCAGTTAAGAAGGTGTTGGTCCATTAATGGCTTTATGACAATTTTGCCAATACTGACGATGTGCTTGCTTATCATTTAACACAGTGAATTCTATGGACCCATATTCAGTAATCAGTCCGCTTTTAATGTATGTTGCATGCACACCTAAAGGGCAGCTGGCTTTCTAAAATGGTGTGGGAAAATCCATTTTTGGACACACCCCCAAAACTCCTGACTGGTTCTATAAGATCTTTAGAGGACAGCAGGGAGGAATGTTTGTTTATTTGAGCTGGAGCTGTTCTGTTGTCAGTTAGGAGCTACTAAGTATCGACAGCTAGGAAGCAAGTGCTAATCAGCCACTTTAGCCACTTTAGACTCGTACTTTAAAAGCTGTTTTCAATGAACAAAAAACAAAATTAAACGATTAATCACAATTATTTACATGGTAAGTAATCACCAGCTAAAATGTCATGATCAAGAGCCACCACCTGTTCCAGCTCCTTCCCTCGGGCAGGGGGGGCCAGCCAGATGAGGATCAGGACATCCAGGCTACAGAGAAGCTTCTTCCCACAAGCCATCACTCACTCGAACAATTAAAATATTACACATAAACAATATTCCAGCTTCTAAACTGCACTTCTAAATATATTGGTATATATTATCACACTCAACTCCATCCTCTGAAACTACCGTCTCAGACCAGTGTTTATTGTAGCATCTTACTTACCTGCCTTATTACCCCACTTATCTGTTACCCCATTTACCTGCCTTATTACCCCACTTATCTGACTGTTACCTCACTTACCTGCCTTATTACCCCACTTATCTGACTGTTACCTCACTTACCTGCCTTATTACCCCACTTATCTGACTGTTACCCCATTTACCTGCCTTATTACCCCACTTATCTGACTGTTACCCCATTTACCTGCCTTATTACCCCACTTATCTGACTGTTACCCCATTTACCTGCCTTATTACGCCACATATCTGACTTTTACCTCACTTACCTGCCTTATTACCCCACTTACCTGACTGTTACCTCACTTAGCTGCCTTATTACCCCACTTATCTGACTGTTACCTCACTTATCTGACTGTCACCTCACTTATCTGACTGTCACCTCACTTACTTGCCTTATTACCCCCTTATCTGACTGTTACCTCACTTACCTGCCTTATTACCCCGCTTATCTGTTATCTCACTTATCTTCCTTATTACCCCACATACCTGTTACCTCACTTGCCTGCCTTATAACCCCACATACCTGACTGTTACCTCACTTACCTTCCTAATTACCCCACTTATCTGACTGTTCCCTCACTTACCTGCCTTATTACCCCACTTACCTGCCTTATTACCCCACTTACCTGACTTATTACCCCACTTACCTGCCTTATTACCCCATTTATCTGTTACCTCACTTACCTGCCTTATTACCCCACTTATCTGACTGTTACCTCACTTACCTGCCTTATTACCCCACTTATCTGACTGTTACCTCACTTACCTGACTGTTACCTCACTGATTCCTTTCCTTGCCACTTTACATCCTTTAACTGCTGCTGCACTCAGCACTTTAACTTTAGACTCATACTTTGCACAACGTAAGGTTTACAGGTATGACTGTGTGTGTGTGTGTGTGAGTTAGTGATGGTAGAAATGCATGTTTTATTTTATTTTATTTTATTTTATTCACTACGTGTGAATGTCTGTCTGGTACTGTGCTCTGTGAGCTCCTGTAACCAAAACCAGATTCCTTGTATGTGTAAGCAAACCTGGCCAATAAAGCTTGATTCTGATTCTGATCATGACAGGCCGACTTAACAGCTGATGTAAAATACCTCTTCTTTACTTAGCAAATCATTGTGGAGTACGATTTATCACTAGCAGCTACTTTTCCTCGAGCAGCTTTTTCACTGTCTTACAAACTCTGGTGAAATTACGATTTGATCACAAATGAAAATTTAAAGCTGTTTAAAATGGCAAAAGTCTAAAAACTGGGCCAAACCTTCAGTGTGTAGACAGAAACACAGGCACATGAGACTCTGGAGGGCCTGAAGGTGGCTGTTTAGAGCAGAAATCAATGGCCCAGCAGGGGAGCGCTTGGTCAGTCAGGGAACTGATGGACCTCCACTGGTGCCGCGAGCTCGCTGGCAGCACGTGAGGACGGGCGGGGTGCCCTGCGGTTACCGTGACGACTGGCGTGTAGATGGGCAGAGGGCATGATGGAGTCGGGGCGGGGATCGATAGCGTACTTAGTTACAAAAGATGCTATTTCACAAGCCAGTGGTCAGCAGGCTTCTGAAGCCAGCTGCCTCAGATACCTGTTTGTTAACAAGTCACTGCAGTCAGAGAAAAGCACATCCGACGCTCCACTGACAGCGAGGAGCTGCCGCTTAATTGGCTTTTAGCGCCCAACTCTGCAAAAGGCAGAAAGAGAGGGAGCGCCTGACGGAGAGAAAGAAGGACAGAGTGAGATGCTGCCTGTCCTATTATCAGGCTATTGATGATGACTGGGATTTCATCAGTTCATCTTTTCCAGGCCATCCACTCACTGCCCTGCCATTTGTCTAGTGCGTGCACTGTGATGAAGGAGCAGAGCTAAAGGGTCTTTAGGATTTGTCCTGTTTATGGAGGGGTTTGAAAACGCTGGAACAGTGGCCTATCCAAACTCTTTCACTTCGCAAGGTTGAAGGCAACGATGAGCTCTGCCTGACAGAGCCAATAACATTAGTTTTGGAGCTTTAATATGCATTTTCCAAAAAATCAGAAATTAGAGCATTATTTTATTAACTCTTAGAAGTCGCAGTTCATGGCAAATCATAACAAAAGCAAGGTGTAATTTCCAGTGGTGGACAGTACCGAAGAAAATGTAATTCGTTACTGTACTTTAGTAGTTTTTTCGTGTATCTGTACTTTGCTGAAGTATTCCCATTTTGGGCACTTTTTACTTTCACTCCACTACATTTCAGTCAAATATCTCACTTTTTACTCCACTACATTATGAGAAATCTGTCGTTCCTTTTGGTTTATGTGTGCATAAAAACGTAACATGTCAAAACCAAAGAAGCGCGAATCCTGTAACTAAGTTGCAAATAAAACTTTGCTTGTTTGCAACAAGTTATTTCAGAGCCACTCAGTTCTACCTGATGGAAACTGTTTGCCTTCAGTGTTTTGTGCTTATGATAATTTTAATAGACATCAGCGTCACTAATTAATGACTCTATTAAAGACTGGTTTACCAAGAGAGACACTGGAGTATTTTCACCTAAAATGAGTTCATGAAGCGAGTCTTGTTACAAAAATGATAATAGGACATTAGAGCCATAATTAATCTCTTAGTACTTTTACTTTCAATACTTAAGTACATTTAAATACTTAAATACTTTTGTACTTTTACTCAAGTGGAGGTTTAAAGGGAGGAACTTCTACTTTTACTGGAGTAATATTGAGCATGCAGTGGTGAAATTTCCCCATTGTGGGACTGATAAGGGTCACTTAATCAAATTAATTAATTAATGATGAACTCCAGTATTTCTTTTTAATGGAGTTAAACCGTTTGACCGTTTGAGCTATTCATAGATTCAGCATGAAGTCCAGCTGCTTGCGTGCTGTATGTTGCTATGGTTGACACCGTGACTGCAGTCCTTTTAAATAGCAAGTTCCACTGCTGTCTCTCTTGATAGAAACAGTTACTTTTAGCTAATACCATACAGAGAATCTGTTTTTCACCAAAGAACATGGAGTCTTAAGTAGCAAAAAACTGCCGATGCCAGCAATATCAGTGAGAAAACTATGCTAGACAGTGCCTACGGGACAGAAACTAACAAAAAACAATGGCAATGTGGGAAGCTACAGTTCCCCTGAAAACAACGTAACACGGCATTCAGATGATAAAAATAATATTATTGAATTTTTTAAGCAATAAATACATTTTAATTATGCTTATTTTTGTCCGGTCAAATAGCTATAACAAAAAAATAAATATTACTCGCAATTAACTACACAATTGACCATGATTAATCAGCACTAATCCTTTTAATAGTTTCACAGCCCTGATAATTATACAACCCCAATTCCAAAAAAGTGTTGGAATGTTGGGAAGCTGCGTAAAAAATGTAAATAAATGTAAATATGTATAATTATTCACAATAGAACATAGAACGCATATCAGATGTTGAAAGTAAGACATTTTACCGTTTAATGAAAAACATTAACTCATTTAAAGCTTGATGGCAGCAACGCATCGCAAAAAAGTTGGGACAGCTGTTTATAAAAAACAGCTGTTATATGGTAAAATGTCTCACTTTCAACATCTCATGTGTTTTCTCTGCTCTACTGTGAATAAAATATGGGTCTATGATATTTGCAAATCATTGCATTCTGTTTTTATTTACATTTTACACAACGTCTCTAAACCCCAACTTTTTTGGAATTGGGGTTGTATTTGAAAAGTACAGCAAAATGACAGCGCTTAAGACTTCAAAGGATTCATTTAGTTTTCAAATCATGCTGTCTCTTCTGTTTTTTATCATTTTTATTCTAGCTAACAAAAATCCATTTCCTTGAGCGCTCAGGGCGTTCGCAAGTGTTTTAAATGTGCTGCACGAATAATATCTACAACTAGCTATTTTACGACTGAAACACTGAACATTAATTTTACCCGGCTGTTCCTCCAAACGTTTCCTCTCCTCCTTTTCAAGACGAGCAGCGTCTTCTGGATTAATTGGCCTTCCAAGCTCATCCCGAGGGATTATGAGCCCATGGAATGGACACTTTAAAGAGACATTAAAGAGATAAGTAAAACAAGACCACGCCTAAACAACACTTTTAAAAAAACAGAGGTTCCTGAATGGTTCTCAACGTGGACATAAGGTTCTAGGAAAAGCCTTTAAGTGGTATAGAACCTTCACTTTAAGGAGGTTCTTCACATTTGCACATAATGTTAACGAAAATGTTCCTTAAAAAACTGTCCACTGGAAAATGGACCAAAAAAAAGTGGTTCTTTTAGGCACTGCTCCAAAGAACCCTTTTGGCCTTATTTTTAGGAGTACCTCATGCTGTACAAAAGAAACATGCCACCTAAGCCTGAGTGCAGTAGAAACAGCAAGAATGTGCATGAATTCCATCTGCCGTCCTCACCTTGACTCGGTCCTGGCGTTCACACAGTGAGCCGTTGGGCATTGGAGCTTTGCACTTGTGACCCACTGGCTGGAAGCGGCCAGCAAAGGTGATGTACCTGGACTTCATCTGCGCAGACAGCTCTTTGTTCTCAACCTCCTCCTCCACTTCATGTGGCACCCAGAACTGGTGCTGAGAGATGTTCCTGAAAACCAGAGACGACAAGAGAACTTCACTCTCACACTGAGTGTGCCAAGTTCTAAATAAACCGTCTCTGCTATTCTCTTGACAAGTAAGGTTCTATTTTTGTTTTTCAGGATTTTTTTATTTGTCTACTTGCAATAATAAATGACCACCTTAGAGTCAGAAGGTTCACAATATGTGCTTTAACGATGGTGGAATAGTTCAGAAAACGGTCAAATCAATATTTAGGCAAACCCTACTATTCATACTAAGGAAGACACTGATGAACAAAAAGCTAAGTGCAAAATGTACATTTATAGTGCATCAGTTTTACTAAATAGCTGTAATTTCTTACTTGACTGAAAACTAGCAGCAAAAATCAAACATTACTGTCCTCAAATGCATGATGGCTGATGTAGGCATTTTCCCTTCTTGCACAGTCACTAATTTTGGAACTTGAGTCTTGGAGGAATGGATTTCCACAAAATCAGGTGATTTGTCTGCTCCAAGTAAGCTGACTGAACTAACAGTTAACTGCCAAGGTTAGTTGCAGAGCTAAATAAGGGAAAACTGCCAAACTGTGTTGGACTCAGTTGACACAATTTGAAAATATCTGTTGTTCTTTACATTGTGTGTAAAGAAACCAAAAGAAATGACCCAAAATTACTTGGAAAAAATTCTGGTTCCACTGAATCACATTAAAATTAAGCTGTTTTTTCTTCTCCTGTAAAATTAACATTTTGGAGATACAAGGTTTTCTTCTGACAACAGCGACATACAAGGATGGTATTCTGTTCAATTCAGCAAGAACATGAATGAAAATATGGTAACTCCACATATTCAGACCAATCATTTCTTTACTTAATTTGGCCTGATTGGGGTTTGTCTGAAGTCAGAACAGACAATAGTGCTCTCTAGTGGCCACCAGACATGACAGACAACCCTGACCTTCTCTCTGAAATATGTTTACAGTACAGAAAGAGGCACATGGCTGCATGATAACTAAAACCCCCACCATCTGTGAATGGTCTATGAACTAAGTGAACTGATTTCAACTTTTAGATTGCCCCAGGAAAAGCAGAGACAAAGAATTTGGTAAGAAATAATGATGTCTGAAGTAAGCCTACTTGATGATCTTGCCAGCCGTAGGTTGTTCCTCTCCCCAGTAATAGAGATCCACTCCGAACGGAACAACAGGAGCCTTCCCTGCCTCCTTCCCCTGTTCACTGCTGCCTGCAGTGGCCTCAGCAGAGCCTCCAGACGCACTGACACAACCAGAAAAGAAACAAAAGACTGAGGAAACCTGGAATAAGCTTTCTCAGGCATACATACAATTAGCTTTTTGTTAAGGGGCCCATATAATGGGACGTCAAATTTTCTTCCTTTTTGTGAAATAATAGAGTTTGGTGAAGTATGTAAATGTGGTTGAAAGTTTTAAAGCATACTGTTTACTCCCCAGTCCATAAAGTCCATATATAGAAACTCTTCACTGTTTTGTGATGTCATGAAAACTGAATATTTGCCACACCCATAACCATGGCTGTTAAATATCTGCCATAGCCATAGCCATGTTGAACGTAGAATAATAAAAATAATAATAATAATTTTTATTCATATAGCACTTTTCATGCCGGTGGCAGCTCAAAGTGCTTTACAGACAGGAGATAAAAAAAACAGTTATACAAGAAATTATAAGTATTAATTTAGAATCATAAGAAAGTGACACAGATCAAATTAAAAGATAAATACCACAAGACATACAGTATTAATGAAATGCTAAGTTAAAGACATATGTTTTATAATAATAAAAGATGGAACTGAGCTCCACAGTTTAAAAGCAGAATAACTGAATGAGTCTCTTCATGTTTTCTGTATTTTACAAAAGGTGTTTGTAGAAGGTCAGTATCTGTAGATCTTAGATTACGTGCTGGAACATAAACAGACAGACATTCTGTGATGTAAGCGGAGCTTTAAGGTCAGTTAAAGCCCTAAAAACTAGTAGCAGAGCTTTAAAATCTATCCTGAACGATAGACAGCCAGTGCAGCTCTTTTAAAACAGGAGTGATCTGATTTCTCTGTGTTGTTTTTGTTAGGATGCTGCCGCATTTTGTATGAGTTGTAAGGGATGTGTTGTTTTCTTAGGAAGTTCAGTAAGAAGATCATTACAGTGATCAACTCTACTTGTAACAAACACATGAATACGTTTCTCTGAGTTGCTCTGAGAGAGAAAAGGCCGAACTTCAGTGATATTTCTCAGATGATTAAAGCTACTTTAGTGACTGCGTTTACATCTGTGATGAAACAGAGCTCAGAGTCTGAGATCACATCCAGGTTTCCTGCTTCAGGTTTGGTATATGAAGCTAAAGAACCAAGTATCTCATTAAGCATTTTTCTCTGAGCTTCTGTACCAACGATCAGCATTTCAGGTTTTTTCGTGATTTAATTGTGCAAAATTTTGCGACATCCACTGAGAAATATCTGACACACAGCTGGTTAATCTGTCTTTCAGCCCCAAATGCTTTTTGAATGAGGCACAGCAGAGGGCGATCAGAACAGAGAACATTTACAGTCTATCAGTTTTACACGCACAGCAACAAAAGTGGCCTGTTTAATTCTTACAGAGAAAGAGAGGTTGGACAATGGTCATGTAAGAATGAATGATGACTGTTTTTGGTACACAATCCCAAACTTCATGAGTGGATCTCTGGAGGGAATATAATAAGACAGTTGTAGGATATCGGCCCTTCAAAAAATATTTAAAGAGCAATTTATGAACTCTCAGTTTCACTCCAAGAAGGCAAAGAGGGGTAGCTTGATGAAGAATTTTATTTATACTGTTTTTCCTACACACTAAATAGAGAAGATCAACCAGGATGTGTTTTCTTCTGTAGTTTTGTACTGGAGCTATGAGGCTATGATGATAAACCCAGCACTTATCATCATGGAAACTTATTTGTCTCAATCAGATTTTCCCATCTCAATTAGTCACCAAACAAGACTATGGTGGTCAAAAGTCAGACTGCATACATGACATTCTTTGCCAAAGTACTGCTTAAAAAGCAGCATCCCTGATATTAATGCCATTACTTCTTGATCTTGACCTGAATTAAATCCTAATTTTGCTTGATTACCTTGCAGATGGTTCAGAGGGCAGTCTCTCTTTTAGGACACGGATAGTGGCAGCTGCACACGTGGGGTCCTCCTCCTCGTCACGTTGCTTCTTTTCGAGTCGGGCAAGAGTCCAGGGCATGGGAGGAGCAGCAGGCCTGACCACAGGTTTTGATGTGATTGGTTTGGCCACAGAGGTAGACGTGGAAGGCAATGGATCAAGACCTTAGAGAACAAAGTGAGAAGAACACAGTGAGCTTTTCACGTGTAATAGCCAAATGCTTTGAATGTGCAGTCCTCTTATAAAGTGATTTTATTTATCAACACAAGTTTGAAACTTCAGCCACTCCTTTTTGATGTACGGATCTTTTGAAATGCTGCAAAAAAATAGATTTGCTTCCAGAGAACCAAATATTTAGTTGTTTTTGACCACACTTTTTAATTCTAATAACTCGGCTATAGACTGTCTGCAGTAACAACGCTCCATATCACTTCAACATAAATGAACTGACTGGGCAGTCATATGTAAATGTATCCATGGTTGCAACATCACAACCATGACGAAAAAAAATTATTAGTGTTAGGAAACAAAACATCAAACCAAAAGCCATTTATTTTAAAAAAGACGGTAATTTTCTTTTTTGGTATTATGTCAAAAGGCAGCTGGTGTGTTTCAGACTGTTCTTGTCTGAGCAGTGTCTTTGCAGACCTCCATCAAAATGTCTTGATACATCTCTGAGTTCACAGCTCCAGTCTTTGGGGTTTCCACCTCTGTGGTTTACAGTTCCCTTAAAGCAGCCTGGTTGGAATTCCTCCCCAGCTTTTCTCTACACAAAGGATCTATCAACAGTTTTATGTTTGTTGCTAAAAGTGTTTTTCTCATAATCAAATATCATTTTGTGTTTTATGAAGTAATTTAAAGAGCTTCATTACCATTTACCAATGGTTAAATGGTTAAAATGTCCAAACTCTTTTTTGGGGCAAGCGGACGACCCCTTTAAATCAGAGCAACTAAAATGGAGGCATGGCAGCGAGGAAGCTCCTGACATTATTAGTCCACTTCAGCAACACTGCGGAAATGTCTCTTGGGTGGGCTGTGGGGGTCTAAGCAGGGCATGCAGGGGCTTAAGCTGAGCTTTAGAGTGACACTGAGATCTAAGACTGACTGACTCCAAACCTGCCCCAAATCCCAGGAGTGTGGCCAAATTAAAACTTTAAAGGAGTGGTTTAAACCTCTTAAGGGTCTGATTAGGGAACACCTGACCACTCTGAACGTGGGTCATCAACCATGTGGACTCAAGGCCAGGTTTACAGAAAAGCCAGTGACTGCAACCTCATTAGAAGCAGTGGGAAACATCCAGACCCTTCTGTTACACACTTATAAACATATGTGTTTTCTATCCCAAGAAGTATAGAGTCATTTGGCTAAACTGTTTAAATCTAATTGCGCAATTATCTGATTAATTACATTCTTAGACAGTGAATTACATTTTAATATGGCTTACATTACCTATCCACGAGTTTGAGTTGACATTTTTCCAAATCCAAATCAAAATAAAATCTCATCTACTTACAAACACAAATGTGGTATCAGTTTGTCAGTTTAGAATATGCACTTTCAAAATCCCCCTGGTTTCTTTAATGAGCTATCAGTGAGAAATAATCAATATTAAATAACATGCTTTTATTGTACTTGGTGGTAACTGTGACTTACGGATTCAACAGCTTTAAAAGCTTAAACTCTGCTCATACAATGAGTGTAAGTTACTACTTTTAGCCTACAGTGTAAATTTAGTTCTACTATGGACACAGAAGGGAACGTGAAAAAGTCAGAGACCTTTGTTTATTTAATTTCCCATCAAAACAGTCATTAAGTATAAGTTATTCATTTTCAGGCAATATTTCTGAGGAGATTAGATGTAACATAATTCTTTAAGCAATGGGAAAGTCAAAGGAAAGTAGGTGCAAAAAACAGGAGTTTCCAAAACTGGAGTTCAAAAAATGGAACTCCTAACAACCATAAACGACCTGCTAGACCACAAAAACTACCCCCATCAGATAAACAGCACTTAAAGCTTTCATCTCTGAGAGAGAGGAGAAAATCAAGCTGCTTCAGATCTGAAAACATCCACAGGTGTTTCTGCCCATCCTTCCACTGTGAGAAGACGACTCAGCGCTGTGGGTCCGAATGGATGTGTAGCTGTTAAAAAGCCCCTTTGAGAGTTCAGACCTCACTGAATGTGTTTGAGACTTCTTGGATCGTGTAAAACTGAAAGTACAACCAACTTTTAGGACTGAACTTTGGAGGTGTGGAAAATATCTTCGCAGACTTCTTTGAAATACTGAAAGCAAGTCTCTTTAAAGAATGGAAGCTGTAATAAACGTAAAGTGTGGACACACTAAACAAAGACAAAACTGATATTACACTTAGTTCCTGAGGCTTCTGTATAAGTTTCTGTTAAATACGACTCCTGCTTTTTTACCCAACACTGAAAAAGGAAAAACGTGTTTTTGAAGGCCATTCTGAATGGAAATTAAATAAATGAAGTCTCTGACTCTCAGTACTGTACACAACACGACTCTTAAAAAAAAAACAAAATTGTTTCCTGTAGTGGCTACAAACAATGCAACACTCTGTGGCTGTGAGGTAGGAAACTAAACATTTGGCAAAGGTTTTCACTTTCCTGAGCCTGATCCCTGAGGCATACAGTTAATCCAGGCTCACTTGCTCCCCACGACTTATTGCATCATAGCCACTCTCTGGACCACGCAGTCATGAAATACGACCAAATCCTTTCTTTTTCTGTTCAAATTGACCAAAATGGTAGCTATTTGTCTGAAGCAATAAAGTTGCAGGTGTTAAAGAGATAAATCAATAAGAGGAAATAGAGAGGCCCAGCAGTAGACACAGAGTGGAGCTGCCAATGGTGGCATTATTGATTTTCCTGAGTTCAGCAGGCCTTGTAATTAAAATGTAAATTTGAGAAAGAGATAACGTCCTGACAGGAATGCCGGGATAAAGGGATAGATAAAAGATCAGCAGTGAAAGGAGCAGAGAGAGAGAGAGAGAGAGAGAGAGAGAGAAAGAGAGAAAGAAAGAGAGAGAGAGAGAATGGAAGAGACGAAAAAACAGAGAAATGCTTTCCAAATGAAACAATTTTTCTCCAGATGAGAGCTGCAGAGCGCCTTTGAAAGGAGTAGGAGAAAAAGATTACCGGGAAATGAAGTGAAATCGTTTTGACGGCTTAATGTAATGCTAAATGAAACCGCTGATACTAACTCGTGCTGATTGATAGATCTGGAACGAAGTTAAGATGGCGGTAAATCCAAATGATATTTTTGGTGTCACTTTTTAAGTGTGCCTGAAGCATATTTTTGCCCGCAGCCTCTATCGGGCAGGTTAACCTGAGAAACGTTTTGGCGCCGGGTTTCGTCTATTGTTCCTCACTTTTAATAGCTCTAAAAATATTCCCATGCACAAAAGCCAAATTATTTTCAATCATTAAGCTCTGGAATCATTTTAGGAGCTCAATTACTGTACGGTGCGTACTCATTACTCCTGCGGAAACTGGTTAGGAATGAGTCTAATTCATTCGCGCGGAGCTCCGTGTAGAATAGACCTGCCCGGCTGTGTGCGGAGGATAGATGCTCCCAGAGGTTTAGCCCCCCCGCTGCAGTAAGGGCAGGTGGACGTTGTAAATTACAACACTGGGCTAATGGGAGCTCATTAACACCACTGCATTGTTAATTTGGCATGGCCGGCACACTGATCATTACATACTTTACTAATCAAAGCAGCTTGGCTCCATGGAAATTACAGCCTAATGAGTCTTTAGTTAATACCGCTGCAGAGACTGTGGGAAGATTATGTAGCAAATAATAGAATTATCTGCGAGTGTGTGTGTGAGAGTGTGTGTGTGTGTGTGTGTGTTAGTGTTATGGCACTCATCAGATGGTGAAGGGTTATGAACAGACAGAACACCAAACATGCAGGTTTCACAAAATCATTACAAGTCATTACTAATTATAAAGACTTGTTTCAAGGTACTTAGTAGCCATTATATTAGTAACTGAGTACAGTGTAAAAATATTTACTCAAAAAGAGTTAATAACCAGATATTCTTAAAATTTTGGGTTCACTAAACTTCAAATAAAAGGTTAACAGAACGTAAGATACAGATACTTGTTTTATTAACATACTATTAAAAGTTTAATTCACTCAAATTATTAAGGCAGCATGGCGACTTACTTTTTAAGATGCCATTTTTACAGTATAATCTAGTAATTATATTGACAAATAACTAGTTTGACAAGTAATCAGGTCCAACAATGAAAATATGCTTCAAATAAATAACAGAAAACGAATTCATAAAAATTAGAGAATCTGTTTCTATCTGAGTTATTCGATGCCAGCTTACAGAGAGCTTGTAAGTTATTAAACCACAAAGAAGCCACAGCACATCATAAATTTTGTATGTTTATCAGATAAAATTGTTCTGTTTAAGGAAAATATTTAAATGAAGCACAATTCAGCATTTTTAATAAAACACAAATCGAAAAGGCAAATAAAATTTTTAGCTCTCAGGCAATGTGAAACATATGGAGTAGCTTTAAATATTGCCTTCAGAAATTATCAACTCACAGATTTGCTCCAAAAAAGGAGGAAAACTACATAAAACATGCATTTTAAAAATAATTATCAAAACTGTCAGGTTCAATTTCATAGATATTCAATACTGAACAACCTAACATTAAAATTACATTCCCTAATAAATTAACCTGTTTATTAACATGAAACCAGATTTAAAGTGAAATATTATTTTTTGTGTTTATTCTCAGTAAAAGCCACACTATGTAAGATTTGGAGATTTGGAGACCTCTCTGGTGGAAATGTGTTATTGCACGCAATCTGCAGAAGAACAGCTGATGAATCTGATGATTGTGAGTGTCTTAAAAGAGCATTCAAAAAGCACTCAGTCAAAACTTGGTGAAGGATGTGTCTTTGGAGGATGTAAGTGAATGATCTGCCACCGTCATCACACCTTCATCAGTATAATATTAATTTTACATTTGAGAACATCAAGCGGGACCTTCTCTTTGAGCCTGTGCAATGTGACGTTAATATGCAAAGACATAACGTGGTCCGAAAAGCATCCGCCAAGTCTCACCACTCTTATATTAGAGCAGAGGTGTCAAGCTCAACCACTAAAAGAGCCATATTAAAAAATCTCAACAAATTTGTGGACCAGGTGCGATTCTATTTTATTTTTACTTAACGTTTTGCCATGACCCCAACTGACCATTGTTTATTTAAAATAAGCCAAAACTACAATGGCAAAAAACTGAATACTTGAACGATTCAAAAATAATTATAAATAAAAACAAATTGTTTTATATAAAACGATAGACTACATTAGCTGAAGATCACTGTTAAACCTCTTTAAATGACCCCGATGTACAGTAGTTTTTTTTTTTAAACTGCTCATTTGCTTGAACAAGACACCTGACATCTTTTTCTTTGCGGTGCTGTCCCATAGATCTTTATTGGGGAGGGGCTGGGAGCACACATTTCATTGCAGTACATGCTGGGAACTGTAGTGCAGCTCATGGTGAAATGGGGCAATATTAATAGAAAATTAAAATAATTTTGCGGGCCAAATAGGATTGTGCCACGGGGCTGACTTGGTCCGCAGGCCTTGTGTTTGACACATGGGTTATACAGGATGACTCACAGCTGCACGTGGACACCATATTTTAGTGTGTTTTTGCTTTGTTTAAAGTGAACATTTAAGAATGCTTAATCGTGGCTCTGAAATTCTGCAAGGTTACATGGGTTAAACTGTAGTTTTTGCTTGAGTTTGTTCATGGAAATCCATGACATGACCAAACAGGCCCACAGCCAGCTGATGTGGAATGTCCCTACTGTAATAGAGAGCAGTAGAAGAATTAAAAATGTCTTCTGTGATCTCTGCTAAATTTGTCCAGAAGGTTAAAATTTAAACGAGGATTTTGAAAACATATTCGACAGCCAAGTATATTTTACCATTCAATCATAAACGTTAACAGTGGACACGATTTTGTGCCAAATATAATCTTATTACTTAGCTTGCGCCTGACCTACTGCTTGACCTCTGTCGCTTTGTGGGCAGCTTCCTGTCAATATGGTTGTCCTTGCACAGATGGAGTCTTTTGCGTGTACAAACAGTCGGCTGTCAGAACAGATTTTTATTGGATGCCCCCAGTGACTGTGGGATTTGATTGATTTAATTGATTTAAACCAGGCTTAAATTGATTCATTACTGCCAAAGGAAACCCAATGAAGTTTATAATATGTGCTATGTTATTTGCAGGGATAGTACCATATAGTGTGTTTCAGTCCCGATTTAATAATACTTTGTAAAATGGAAACATGTTAAATGCTTATTTATTATATGGTCAAGCACATTGATGCCCCTCTGCATAACTTCAACTTCATAACTCCAATTTCTAAAATCGAGCCGCTTTATTCTCTTAAAGTAAATTTTTAAAGTAAACATAGTGAAGTATCTCCCTCTAGTATCCCTAGTTCTACAAATAAACATTCCCCTTGTGTCTTATGGTCATCTCTATAAACAAACATGACACTTCACAAAGGATTTCAGAGCCTTTGTACTTGTAACTCCCCACTTTGATTGGCCTGCAGGGTGCAGTGATACGCTATGAGAGATTATTGGGGTTTTGGGTGCAGCTAGAACTCTTATTGATGTCTAATGAGTGTCTGCCTCAGTGCTGGTATCTGCACCTGAACAAACTCACCATACTCTGCTCGCAGATGCTCAGGGATATGTGGCTCATAACCCTCCTTCTCTGGCACCTCCTCAAAATCATCATCGTCGTCATCGTCATCTTCCTCTCCGGCTTTTATCTGGTGTGGAAAATAGAGATGCAAATTATGGCAAATTCTTTTGAAGTAATACTGACCATTATTAGTTGGTGATTAATCGCTAACCGACAAAGATCACAAACACTGTGCATGAAAACATCAAACACCAACAAGGCTTTAAACTTTATTGGAGGAAAAACATAGCCTAATGTAACAGATTTGACAGTAATGTAATGTAGTCTACTTACTAATGTTCACATATTAATAACCCACGTTAACAACCATGTATGGCATGACGGGGGCGAGTTCATATGCATACTTTTAACAACAATCAACAAGATTACATAACATTTTCAGCTTTGGTGTCATGTGACATCTGCAGGCTTAAGGCCATGCTAAACAGAAGCTGATGTAAAAAAAATAAATAAATAAAAATAAAAAAAGAGTCAGCTATAGCCTGCCTTAGCATGTTATGTGGCTAAATGTCCTAGTTGTGATAAGGCTGTAAACTACATTTAGGATTATTTAATTTCTGCTGTATCTCTTTCACAACAACTCTGGCACAACAGTTTAATCTAGAAAACTAAGAGTTGCATCACTATGGACCCATTACATTATTTTTTTTTTTTAAACTTGCCCTCACACAATTTGTTCTCTTCACATTGATGTGTATCAAACCTACGTTTCGCGAGTGGCCATTCACGGCAGAAAAGGAAGAGGGGACAGTGTCTGTGTTTACATGCAAAGGTTTTTGTCAATCCGATTGAATACATTCTGATTACAGATTAAGACTGAGGTGTTTTTATGCTCACGCTACTCAACAATCTAATGGAAAATCTCTGTTTACAAGCTCACTACAAGTAATCAGATACAAAAATGTGTATGTGGAGTACCACTTAGAGTAAACGTTACCATGACAGCGAGCATCATGTGAGTCCAGTCAGAGTGAGATGAGCAGCAGTGAGCATTGCTTGTGTTTTTAATGACTTTAAAATGATGTCAGACTCAGGAAAACGTCCTTCACATGTCCTCATTAAAGAAGGCCGAGAGGAAGACGTCGTGTTCTGAGACACATAAGCTGGACCTCCGTCCCACCGCCGTCTTTTAAAGATCAGAGCATAAACTTCGTCTCCTCTGCAGACCAGTTTCTGCTCCGCCATGTTGAACGTTATAAACTTTCACTATGACGTGACGAACATGATCAGAACTTAAACTTTCCGATTGGGAATGTAATCAGATACAGGTGTTTACACGGATATTATTCTTCTATTTAACGGATTATTTACAGGACTACCCACCTCAATCAGTCGGACAGAAATTGTATTTCGAATGGCCTCAATCGGACTAGACTATTCTGACTAAGGTGGACGTATTCTATTCCGATTGAGCTATTAGTCTGATTATTAACTGATTATCAGGCTGCATATAAACGTGGCTGTAGTTTGGAGCGCCTTATTCAAATGGAGAGCCCTCCCCCGCTGCAGGTTAGCCTCAGTGAGCTAATCGGCTAGACGTGACAACTTTGCAAAGCAAAACTCTTTTTTGAGAAGTTTGAGCATTATGTACATAACATCTGTAAGTATCTGCTTTGTCGGGTTATAAACTTGGTGTAGAACCGAGGTTCTTTTGTTGTTGTTAGCAGTGTAGTCGTGTAGCATGCTAACAAGCCAGATAGCAGAGGAAAGTGATGAAGTGATAAAGTTGTGTCAGCAGTCATGTACAACAGATAGGTAGTTTGCAACTTTAAGCCCGGCAAATCAGAAGTTATGGTTTTGAATTATTAAGCATTTTTAAGTACTTTTCTGCAATGTCTTATAAACAGCTGGGTCTGCAATTATTTTCAGGTTTGAAAAGGAAAATGAGTAGGATCTCAATGATTTCTGGGCAAGTTCTGCTGATGAAGTTGACACTTATGTTCACTCAGTCTCTCGCTCCCTTCTTGGGCTCATCTAGCACCCTTCACTTCAGCTAACAAAATAATGGAAGATGGTGTCTGGGTTTCCCCCGAGGGGAAATGACAAGGCCCATATGAGGGCTTGTTAAAATCGATGTTGAAACAGGCGGTAATTTGGGCAAATGGAACAAGTTGGTCCTTACACTCTTAAGTATAAAGTTAAAAAACAGGCCTGAAGTTGGATGGAAAACCCACCTGTTCAAATGTTAATGTTTATTGGAAATTAAATCTATTTTTTAACCAAAAACACTGGTCAAAAAACTGCTGTATCGGTTAATCAACATCTCTGAAAGGCGAGAATGAATATATTTAAGAGGAAAATAAACAATAAATGTGTTTTTTTAATTCAAAAGTTTCCAGAATTTTCCAAAATGAGCAAAAATATTTTTTGCTAAAAAGATTTTAGTGAAACAGTAATATTTGGTGTGACCACCACTTGCCTGTAACAGCATGACATTTCTAAGAAAAAAACCCTGGATTTTTCCAAACAGCTGCAAAACAGGAGCAAAACCAAGTCTAGTGTTTATATTTTTGTTCAGTATAAAAGGAAAAAATTAAAAAATTATTTTCCATTTCCTACAAACAGAAAGCCTCCTATTCACTCAACTCAGCACAAGAACACAGACGATCAGGTCAACACAGATTTGTCTATGAAATTAGGTACCTCAAATGTGTCCCCCCCCCGACCGTTCTCCACAAGCGTTTGTTTGCAAACTGCTTACCCATGGCCTGGCACCTTAGCGGCTCTTTCCTCACTGATTAACACTCAAATGGGATTGACTATGGCCTCAGGATATTCCAGAGATTTACAGCGTCCTGAATGGCAAACTATGCAGTAACGTCGGAGCCCTTTACATTTTAATTCAAACTCGTAATAGAATTTCCAGTTGACCACATCCAATTTTTTTTGTAGCTGTAGTCCATCTGACCATTGTGGCATCTAATTGTGGCCGCATAAAACAGTGCTCGTTTACATTTGGCCAATTTTCCCACATCTGCCTGCCTGTAGAGGAATTAAACAGGTCAGACTTCTTTCAAACCTTTCCAACGTTCTTAATATTTTGGACAGACAGCATCTCTGAGAGTGGATCAGTGAAAAGAGCCAATTAAAAAATTATTACCATTAGAGATTCAAGAGAGAAAACACTTTCAGAGCCAGTGAAAATCTAGAGAAATCTGCGCTCAAAGCCCAAACTGCAGGTTTAGCCTCTCTCATGTTCAAGAGAGCCAGAGGAGGAAAGGGGGGAAAAAAGGAAGAGAACAAAGAGATTGACAGATATGCAGGTAATATTGGGTTATCTTAGCCGCAGCTAGCCAGGTGGAGGTGTACCTGATAACAGCTCTTTGCGAGAAAAGAGAGCTCAGCGGGTGAGATGAGGGTTTCTCACCCTTCAGTCTGAGTCTCTGGGTTAGCATCATGCAATCACTTTAAGGAGATCAACCCAACACCAGCCACCAGATAAGGAGACGATCCAAAGGAGATCCAGCTTGTAAGACTCTGACTGCTGTAGCTCTTTGTTGTAACCCTCCTACAGCTTCAAGGAAGCTGGCAACTACTTAAAACTTCAAGGTTCTGCATGAGATGTAAGTCTGAACAGATCATGAATCCTCTTAGGCTGCAGTTTAAACCTTATAAATCAGAGTTACCGACTGCCATAACGAAAGCATATTGTAATTTTATATGAATCATTTCTCTGTTGTAGCACAAGCAAAGAGATTCTGTCACAAGTGTAGATTCCAAGCTTTCGATGGCAGATATTTTAGAAAGATATGGATTTGTTCAGTTATTAGTGTGTACAGTCTTGTTTTGTGCAAAGTAAAAAAAATTCTATGCACCTGGGCCATTTTTCTGACATTTGAATAAATTAAATAAATGGAAAAAGGTCTGAAGTGCAAACTCAAACCTGTCAACGTAGAATGTAATTTATTCCATATTTACAGAATAGAACGTGAGGAGGAGTGTGTTATCGCGAAATAACATCACGGCTGTGATTTGGTCGCAGGCACGAGCCGAAGTTGATGAAACTGAAACAGTTAAATAAATAAAGTAAGAAATAAATAAATGTGGCGTTTAATATGTTTTAATGTTCGCAGTTCCTTCCGCCAAATTATAGCTCCTTAACGAGCAGCTTGTTGCTACGTCAGAGTAACGAACTCCGCTCACTCGCTGTGCAGCCGGCAGTTCGTTCTCCAGCTCCCTACACTAAATTCCCAAACTGTCATCACCACTGAGCAGCTTTTCAGTCAGCAGATGTGACAGAAGAACAGCTAAACAACCTGGAATCAGCCAGAAATGAACCCAACACCATTCGCCAAACTAAACGGGCTGTAAGATGCTTTACAGACTGGCTGGAACAAAACAACATCAATACTGATCTGGCAAAAACTGACAAAACTGAGCTAAACTTGATATTGCAGCAGTTTTGTGGCTCAGTCTGATTTGGTCAGACTCTGAAGATCAGACTACACGTTTGGAGAATGGTATTGGGTTCATTTCTGGCTGATTCCAGGTTGTTTAGCTGTTCTTCTGTCTCAGCTGCCGACTGAAAAGCTGCTCAGTGGTGATGACAGTTTGGGAATTTAGTGTCGTCTCATCTTCAGAGTCTGACCAAATCGGCTGTCGGTCAAATGTGATCTTAAAAGTGTCCGTTTTCTGTTTGTGGCAAAGTAAGAAGTAAAAACGTTCGAATGGCTTGAGCGTCTCCTACAGCTGTCAAAGTCGTTAGCAACGGCATCTCAGCGGAGTGATACAGTGTTTGTGAGTGGGTTAGAACGCTTCTCAACCAATCAGCTTGCGTAGCCGGAACTAACTGTTGTATATAACTATTTAATAAATTATGTAATTATACTTAAACAGTACAGCAAAACAACAGACTTATAAAAGACTATTCAAGTCTTCACAAAGTCCCAGGATTCTTCAAGAAATGGCAGATAAAACTACATTCTTGCTTTGTGTATATGAAGTTGACGCACGCATTTTTCAGATAAATGTCAAATTTTCATAATAAAGAGGAAGTAAGTGCAAAGATATGTTGCTTCATTCTTCAGAAACAGGACCAGCAAATAATTCTTTACCACTGAGATGGAA